CTTTTCAGTCGCTTTGTAGCTAAATTTAATGATAGCTTCAGATTATCTAACCAACCATTTGACTATGAGTCCATCACAACAAACCAACAAACCAACACACCAAAAAAACCCACAAAACCAACCTCCAACTGACTCCAACTGGCCGTACTAACCCACCAACAACCAACCCAACAACCACCTGAAGATTAAAAAACAGAATTTAGTTTTTAAGGAGGATTGCAGTGAATTTAATAACTTCCTCTAGGTATCATAAAATGACCCCTCGATCTTTTGCAAATTAATGGCATTCTCTTATTGAGGCTTACAGYATATATTGTGGCCTTATTACTTAAAAAGGGGCGCGATTTTGAACAATAACATTGACAGTCGACGTGTWTGGACAACGAGCCTATCGTGAATAACACAATGAAAACTACGTAAAAATAATGATTGTTAACAGATAATTAACGAGTGATAATCAAATCAATAYGTGTTAAAAACTTTCTTGTTAATTTCAAAACCGACCTGGAAGATTTGTTTAGACTCTATGGATGACTTAAGGTTACGGCCAAGGTTCGTCAAATGGTCCRAGTTTGTCCTAAAATATTTCGAAAAGAGCAAGTATTCCAATTGTATGCCATTTTTTTCCGATGCAAAAGCGAACCAATCATCACCGTTGCAGCATTTTCCCAATRAAATTCGAATATTTTCCCACAAACAACTACACAGTATTTGTTTTRRGGAGTACTACAAGAATTTTATTTTATTTTCTCAGGACAATATATTTTACAATTGAAGCAATTTATGACTCATTTTCCTGCGACCAGAGTTGTAAATTAATATTCTAATATATTCTAGCAAATTTGTTGAGCTTGTGGGACATAGCAACGGTAACTAAGGGGAGTCAGAACTATGAATTAAACGTCACCATGCTTGAGGTCTATCGATCCGGCAAGGATCGCTATTCCATGCTTTAATTCCACCATTATTGTTCCGTGTTTTAGTAAAGAAAAAAAATATTAAATACATTTTTGAAATGTGTCCTCTGTTTTTACTCAGGACTTAACAGAAGCGGTTTGGTACGACACGAAGAACGTTTGTACAATGACTTATTTGACGGCTACAACAAGGAAATACGTCCTGTGCTCAACCCATCAGAGGCTGTACACGTGACCTTTGGATTCGCTCTCTCTGAGATAATTGATGTGGTGAGTTTTTAACCGATAACACACTACTTTTTCACAGTCTTGTCTTGATTCTATATAGTTTTTTTGTGTGTTTTGTCTTAAGGAACGACCTATGCTTCTGGTTGTTGTTGCGTATTTGCTTTCTAATATCAGGGGCGTAGCCAGAGGGGAAATCAAGGGGGTCAGGTCATTTATATGGTCATTTTAATTTATTATCATTATCATCATCATTATTTTTTTTTATTTTTTTTTTATTATTTTATTTTATTATTTTATTTTTTTTTTAAATTAATTAATTAATTTAGTTATTTTTATTATTGTTATTATGTAAATACAGAAGTTAAAAAATAAGTGCTGGCTTTTTAAGCCCCCCCTCTCCAGGAAAATCCAAGCTACGCCCCTGAATATTATTTATTTATTATTTATTTTTGAATTTTTCAAAAATGAAAAATCTAATCTGACCCAATATTCTAATGATAATATTTGGTCATGAACGACGTGGATTGTACGTGTAGACAATATAATATTGGTGATGACTTCAATCGAAAAAGTTCAAACTGTTTTCTCTAGGGCTCTTAGGCTTTTATAATCAAATGTATAAGAAAATAGTTTAAAAAATTATAGACTAACTTCCATCCAAATGGTTTCAGGATGAGAAAAACCAAGTGCTTACGACAAACGTCTGGGTGCGACAGGTAAGATGAAGAAAATGTGACAAGTATATTTGGGATACAAGAACTGGAAGTGAAAAATATCTAAACGGCTTATCACTAAGTTTTAGCGCTATTTTCCTCGATTTTCAGCAAAATTATTTTTTTCTAGATTTCCTCCTTGCAGAGTTTAAGCTATTAAGAGACTGCTATTGCGCATGCTCAAACTTTTGTTTGGAGAGAATGCGCGATAAGAAATAGAGGTTTTGTACTTTATCATAGTTGCCTCGTCCTTCAAATTATTTGTAAAAAATATTTAGTTTTTTTTTTTCGTGGTATAGACTTGGAAAGATGTATCCTTTGCATGGAACTCGTCTCGTTATGGCAACRTAGCTTCTATTAACGTAGATGCGAAGACAGTCTGGGTGCCGGACATTGTTCTCTACAACAAGTAAGTCAGTTGGACATGGGTATATCTGTTAATGGCATTTTAGAACAGGAAAATGAAAAGCTAAAATAATTGAAGAAAAATTGAATGTTCAGCTTAGGGAAAAATCAATTCAAGTGCACAGTATGACATGAACATTTCTTATTTCTTGTAATTTTCACTGCATTTGTGCACTACAATAGGCACCATCATCGCCATCTCCAAAAACAACAACTTCATCAACAATAACAACAACGACAAACATTGTAAATCATTCACAAAGCCGAATATTAGAAAATTATTTTTCTTCTACGTGAGTTAYTAATTTTGTTAGCCAAACTTTCACACACTAGTGCATCATCAGGCGAAAGGCTAGTGGGACAGTTTTTTACGTTAACCAGAAACTATAAGCGTGCACGAGCAACTCAAACCAATAAGCAAGCACGTTACTATAAGGCATGGTCAAAAAGCTATTTTGAAAACGTTTGGAATTATTGCATTTTGGAATGTGTGGTTAAACCATGACACGACAAACAAAAATACATTATTACTTWGTCCTACATGGAACTAGAAGCATATCATTCCATATAGGTAAAGAAAAATTACACCAAGGGTATGGGGTAAGACAAGACGCAACTTCCTATTTTTTTTATATACTATCCTAACTGACTAACGCTTCTCCGTACCCCTGTAAAAGACATAGCTTATTTTCCTTGGCTTCTTGACCCTTGCTTGATTTTACCCTCAGTAGAMCTCCTCGGCTCTGARGCGCTCGAGCGAAATGTTGTCCCATTTCCGGTTCATTCCCTTGAGAATAATATTCTTTGTTTGAGTTGTATCCATATTCATGTTCTTCTCATGTGCAACCGAGCACAAACCTTAAAGAAAGAAATGATACTCTAGGGAATGACACTTAGGACAACATTACGTCAGAGCCGAGGAGGTCTATTAAAACGCTAATTGTAGAGAATTTATCCTGAACAAATTTCATTCTTTGCGAACCTATGGATGTTTTGAACAGAAGACTGGGGGGTTCAAGGAGAGGTCATACCTATCATAATGATGTAATAGAAAGCAMCCTTGTTTGTTTTTACAGTGTCAACAACAACGACCACGGTGAACAATATCTCTTCAACACTAAAGTGGTGATCASCCATGATGGGACTTTTGCTTGGTACTCGCCGAACAAGTTCAACACATTTTGTAAGATTGATGTCCGACTTTTYCCCTTTGACACTCAAGAATGCAGGATTACGTTCGGATCSTGGACCTWCACTGGGGATGAAATCGATCTTTACTTTTACAAGAACACGTCAAGGGCCGATTTAGGAATATTCTCGAAGAACGGAGAATGGGATCTAACGTCTGCTGAAGGAGTTCGAAACGTTATTTCATACGATTGTTGTTCATCACCTTTTATTGACTTGACGTATAATATTATCATCAGTAGAAGGCCCCTCTTTTTCTTGAATAACCTCATTCTCCCTTGCATCGTACTGGCACTGCTCACGTCTGTCTCCTTCCTATTCCCTCCAGAGACTGGGGAGAGAATCTCATTGGTCATTACAGTCTTGTTGGGTATGACAGTGTTTATGATAATCTTCACGGAAGCGATTCCCGCCACTTCAGAAGCGACTCCTTTGATTGGTAAATATTTTGCAGCGGTACTCTTTGAAGTTGCACTTTGTCTCCTAGCGACGTGCGTGCCCTTACGGCTTCAACATTTGCATCCTGGCACGGAAATGCCTCGATGGGCMAAAGTATTAATTTTTGATTATATTGGGTATGTTATGTGCTTCGGAAGTTCTAGRCCATTAAAAAAGGGCAGGAAAAAAGAAAGTCAGTCAGGGAAAGTGACCAAGATTCACAGCTACACTAACGATGATATTAAGCTCAGTGACACCGACATTATAGAGAATGGCTATGTAAATGATCACGAGAAAACGAAGCAACGCTCAGAAGCCTTTGAGAATAACCCACAAGGAAAGCCCCACGATTATTCTGTTGTTAATGAGTATATCAAGACAAAGGAAAGAGAAGACGAACTGTACGCCGAGTGGAAGAACGCCATTAGTGTCCTTGATCGATTTTTCTTTTGGCTTTTTATCTTAACGTTTGTCGTGTCCAGTGTTGTTATTCTGTATGGGTATTCCAGAAATTGAAATAAAACTTTGTATGTATGTAAAAGAACTAGAGACGAAGCTCCCTTCCATCCAAAGAACAAAGCCAAACTTGCAAGAAAGCAACATTCAATAGACCCTTGCTGTACGTGGAAATGCGGCTCAATTTGCAATGACATAGCTATGATAGGTTCCAATTCTCTGTKTGGTATCTTTTGTCAGCTGAATAGCAAGTTTTCGAAAAATGTGTACRTGGGAGATAGAGCTTGAAGAGCAGTTTTGCCAGAGAAACGAGCCAAGCTAGCAATTAGAAAAGGACATCCAATAGATTTGCTATGAATAGACGTTATTTGCGATTTCGTAGAGTATTTGTACAAGCTGAACGGCCAGTCTTCATTGATGACTAAGCGTGTAGGGAGTGCCATTCCTATCACTGAAGGCTATTAAGGATAGGTGATTAATTCAGTTATCGAGGAAATGAATTCAGCAAATTTGAACGAAACTTTGGCAAAAGTGCACTCTGCGAGCAGGAAATAAAATACAAGTGGTTACCAAGAGACCAATAGAAGATCCAAGGCAAAGTCACTCAGCAACACTCAGAGGCTCAGCTGTACTACATTACTCTTAGTGAACGCAGTAGCATAAGATAGTTTGCGCATATGCTTGTCGCGTTTTTAAAGTGTCGACAAGAGTTTTAAGAGTAAAGAAAGTAGTGAATACATTAATATTCTGTTGGACATAAAACTTTCAAATAATAAACTTTATACTCAAAAAATACAGACTTTTCACATGGYTGRATGAAARAGTAGCCRYGYAWACTGSAATTTGTTTTTCGCGTATTTACCTRATTTYATGCTAACAGAGYAATGTCTTYCATACTCTAGCGTATCAATAAAAATACGATTATTACGCATCGATCTATTTGTTATATTTGGTTTTCAAACCGTCCTGAAAAAGCTAAGAACAAATAGGAGCAGTGAAACTTGTTTACGAATATTTAAAAAAAAAAAAGTCGTTCGGCCCGACAATTTCATACGCGAGTTCCATACTCTTAATCTAGTTGAACAGGGCCCGGTTGTACGAATGGTAGATAGCGCTATACGGCGAATAAATCCGTATTCAGGGAATCAAAAAGTAATGCTGTTATCCAAAACACTTAGCCATTGGATAASATTTATCSCTCGGATAGCGCTATCCACCYTTCGTGCSAMCGSGCCGAGAACTGCACTTGACAAATCGGCTATCAYATGATCAGGAAATACATACTTGTCCRCTTCCTCTTTCAGGGAAACGTGTGCAGTTAAAATGTTCTGGCCACTGAAAGCCAAATTTCTTTAACACTGGCTGACAGCCGCGAAATGATCGAAGACATAACGATCGACAGGGTGATATTACGTTCATCTYGGTGCATATTGGTGCATACATTGAACATAGGAACCTTTCCAAGGAACTGGAACACTGGATCTTGACAAGAGGGATAAACTGATTCAGTTCTAGCATGGCTTCGTCCTGAGTRCGATGTTTCAAGATATTTGGAAATAATGTGTAGCTGTAGCCTAATGCAGAACACATTGGTATAGTAAGGTTCTGACAATGGCTTCCTGAAGAAGTTTCTGTGAAGAAATGATAAATGATTTTGTCAGCAACTGTTAGTTTTTTGACCTACATCTTTGTTAAAAAATTCATCTACCGATTAGGTAATTATTTGTGTTAGAGTCTTGTTCTCAATAGCCCCCTTCACAGTTCCCTGCGCCATCTTGAAAGGTAGCCGTGCCTTTGCATCGAAGCGAGACAAACGGTGAGCTTGCAATGATAGAGACCTTTTCTTAACACCTTGGACAATTATTCACACGTCTCTATCATTGCAAGCTCACCGTTTGTCTCGCTTCGATGCAAAGATGGCGCAGGGAACCGTGAAGGGGACTATTGCGACCCAAGCATAAGCAAAAGCGAGCCAACGCACGAAGCTCAAAATATTCCGTTCTTTTTCGCATGCTTCGCTTCTTTTCATAGTAAGAACATGGAGTTGCGTCTGCTTTCGTCACTTGCCAGAACCCAGCCTATAACCTTTCGCATATGGCCGAGATTTTGAGCTTAAGTTGTCATCCACTGATTGTAATTGCTATAGCCTTCGTSGTTTTTYTCTCTCACGTATATTTGTTTCGGTATCTTCTGTTATTTTACTACCGATTATTTAAGCACATCTTCCAATTTGTTCAGTAGTTCTATTAGACGGCAAAGTAAACCTCTTTTTCCTGTGCGAAATGTTTCCCAATTTCAGACGACGTGTCATTTCCTAGAGTATCATTTTTGTGTTTAACGTTTGTGCATAATAAGACATATGAATATCAATACTAGTCAAATCTCAAGAGGATGACGCGTGGTTTGAAATGAGAAAACATTATTGATGTACGACTAAGCTAAAGAAATCTGTTAGAAATGCAAGCAATGTTAAATCCAATAAAACATATCAGTGGAGTCTTGCTATAACAAAACACTTACCTGCCCGAGGAAAAGTCTTGGTTATTATTGATGGTGTCTGTCTTGTTGGAATTGGTAGTTCAGTAGTTGTTACATTCGTAAGTTCTGAAAGACGAATACATAAATAACTAGATGTCTTTATTTATCATTATTAATCGTGACATGACGAAATGAAATTACCAGTATAATAACAATATTAAATAAGATCTCAGAAAAAATCCCAGCTTCAGATGGGATTTAAATCTGAGCTCATATTTCACACTATTGCTATGGATTTCATTTCATATATCCCTACCATATATATTACTTTTCATCTTCTAATCGTGACTTACATTGCAGCAACATTTGTTAAATACAGGCAAGGCAACAATTTCTTATCGTCATTGCGACAAATCAAAGTTGGTTTTGTCAAAATCCATATATACTCAGATATGTTAGAAGACACTCGTGTGCAATACAGTATACTCGTGGACTGAAAACCAATATCATTATTAGAAGAATGATCGTACAAGTTGTGATGGACACCAATTTGGTTTGTCTTTCAGTGACTTAGGCCTTCTTGCTTCTCTCGTGCTCTACACAGCTCCCAGAGCGTTTATATCACAATAAAAATGCAGCAGTTTTATGTAAAAGTAACACAAGTGCTTTTGTAAAATGTTTTTCATGGATTTTGCGCAAGCGTGTCTCTGTGCTCTATTATAGACACAGTAGCCAGCCAATCAGAGAGCGCTTTTCAAATATTTTATAATACATTTTATGAATATATATTGGGCAGCTTAAAATAATTTAAAAGTTCAAATAACTTCGTACCTGTCTGATTATCAGAAGGTTTTGAGATACACGTCTCACCACTGCCTTCCTCCGGAAATCTTGAGCAGTTAAATTTTGCTGGCCACACAAAACCAAATCTATTCAACAAGGGTTCACACCCCTGCTTCGATCTTTCACACAGCGAGCGACAAGGTGGCAGATTGCCGATTTCCGTGCACACCGGTGCGTAGATGGAACATAAAAACAGGTTTAAGGAACTTGAACAACCTATTTTGACTACTGGATAGAGTTCGTGAACTTCTAAGGCAGCTTCTTCTTGGGTTCGGTGACCAAACATGTTTGGGAAGGTAGTATAGTTGTACCCGATTTCCTTGCACATTGGTATTTCTACTTCCTGACAAATCCCTTTTTTAGATATGCCTGGAAATACAAGGTACATCTTTTGATGTAAAACATATTTCGCATGAGAGGCCAAAAAAAACAGGAAATTTACGACGATTGGAATAATTAAGTTCGACACGCACGGATTTCACATTACTTTTTCATTTTTTTCTCCATTAAAAAATATGGGAAACGCCCCACTAGCACTAACACACCCCCCCCCNCCCCCCTTCCTCCCAACGGTTTTACAGGAGCCACGTCGTGGTAATAGATAATTCACTAGCTTCTTTGGGAAATAAAATTTCATGTCATGCGGAAACATTTCACAATTCTTGCCATGAGACAGCCGCGAGAATCCCAGTGTCTATAGTCTACTCTCACCTTCAATTTGTTTTTGTTTGACTTTCCGAACTGCTGGAAGTCGTTGAGGCAGATGTGCCGGTTTGGGAGAACGGCTAGCCTTAAATCCTTCAAAACATCTTTTCCTGGGAAGTTTACTGCAGCGAAGAGAGGAAGGCCATTTCATTTTTAATTTCTTCATCACACGGCGGCAATCTTTTCTTATTTTGTGACACAATGACCTGAAATGGGAAAAAGAAGATGTTGCTGAATGACACATGTGGGGAGGCATAGATTGAATGTATTTTGTAGAACATGAAATAATGTTGACGCCCTGCAAATGCACACTTTTAAGATTTGTTTTGAATTCAAGGCTAACATGGAAACACTTAAGAAATACCACAAATTCCATCGAGAAAAATGTGATTTCATTTGCTTATGCGTTTCATGACTGTTTTTGGTGTAAAAATAGTTAGTTTATACGTAATGGAAGGTTTTGGTTATACGATAAGTGTAGTATACTAGTCAACCTTGTCACGCTTTGATTTTCACGCTTCTACCTTACCTGCAAGGAATCTGTGACTGATCATAGATACAGGGAGGTGCGTACACCCTGCAAAGAAACTTCTCGAGAAGTGGTGAGCAGTGTTTCCTAAGTACTTTGCCCCAGCGCCTGATGACTTTTGCTACCTGGTTCTGGTCTGTATGGCCAAAACTGTTAGGTAACATCGTGTAGGTATAGCCCACTTGACTGCATGTTTTGATATCGATCCTTTCACACAAAGGTTTCACTTTGAGGGCTAAAGGCAAGCATAAACAATGATTCTAAAGATTTTCCGCAAGATAGGTGTGTCTCTAATTTACATAAATGAAAATCTTTGTGAATTTCACAATTATTTTGTGACCAAGATAGAGATCATGAATGAATTAGTAAACGTGCACAATGCTCCATGTTCGAATTCTCTGCTGCCTCTGCTGTTTTTTGTGTATAGGATATATATGTGTTATAGTGAAGTACCGTGGAATTTGAAAGAAAGTTCATTTGAAACATGAAACATATGTTCACGCCAAAATCGATTGTATAGTTGCATAACAGAAAAGAAAAGAAAAGAAAAGAAAGTAAGTGCGCGGTCATTAAATGATCGGTCGCCTGGGGAAGGGAAAGTAGTTGGGAGGCCTTACGATCGTTTTGTGTCACCGTCATAGAGTAAGACAAGAATAAGGAAATTCACACAATACTTACCAACAGTACTCCATCCTTGAACCAGTACAATAGCAGCAACAATAAACACAATCTTTATACCTCCCATCGGGAAAACGTCACCGCCTAAGAAGGCAAAAAAGAAAATAGTTCTCCAAACGAGCATTATTTGTTCAATAGCTTCTTAGCGTGTGGCTTGGTAGCCCAGTAAGGGGCAACAGTCTCAAGCAGATCTTTTTGACTCAACTTTGTCAAGTTTCCAAAGGCACTTTTTTTTTCAGGTCATCTTTACAATTCAAGACAGATGTAAAAAATACGACGAACTGATTAAGAGGTGCATGCCTTTAGAATTGGAATTCGTAGGAAAATCTACTTTATTTTGTTCGAGTTTCATGAAAATTAACTTACCACAGCGTTAGCCAACTCTTTTTTTGTTTTGTTTTGCTTTTGCAAGCTTTCTTGATGAGCCTAAAGCAAAAGCTATTAGTCGTTAGTGAGTATTAAGAACAGTGGCTACAAGGCTTAATCCGTGAAATAGTAGGCAGATCAAGATTCCCGTTTTTCATTCCCGCAAACGGCACACGTGACCACGTATTAATCGTTTCCCTACATTTCACTTTACCTTTCGCGAACCTTCTCGACAAAGACAAGTCTTATTTTGTTTATCTAGTACTTGGAGTTTTTAACCATTTCTTTTCACTAATTTTAAAGAATTTTTTAATGTTCACCTAAACGAGAATCTTAACTCTAGTTAGTAGACTAATAGAGGTTAGCTATTCGGTTATTTCTGTGGTTTTCGTTTGAGTTTATTTGACTATTACACATCGGCATGTAATTTTTGCCTCAAGGGTTAAGTAAAATTGCTCTAAAACAAACTTAATGATGAACTAAAGGGCTTTAAATAATCTAAGTGATGATTATCTATCTTAAGCTACCGCTGTTTAAGTGAGACAAAGGTACCGATACTCAATAACCCGCTGGTTTTTGTGTTTGTGTTTGGGGTATCAATGTTGCATTCTTTAAATTAAATGAACAGTTATCCAGGCTTCATGTTGAGATGTCTGAATGAAATGTCGTTCCAATCACGGTAGGTATTCCTTTTTTCTTTGAGTTTCGACGATAGGTATCTTTGAAATAAGCACTTGGACAAAATTCAATCCAAAGATATGAAAGCTTATGCGATCATCATCGATCAATCTTTTAAGATGTCATCATAAATGAACATTTGCCCTGACAATCAATTAATTACGCGAATAAACTAACTAAAAAAACATATGAAGAAAACACAAATACCCCATTCACACCAAAGCTTAAACATGTTTAAAAGTGGTTTAACTAAAAAGGCGGGTTTGGAAAACTATCTACGAACACTGCACAATATTTGGTGAAATAATGCATGTAAACTATCCTTTGTCTTGCTCTGACAATATTTTAGAAAGTTTCATTATATTGTAGGTTTCTAGTTTCTCAATTTTTTTCCTAATGATAACATAGTTTAACTAAACACGTTTAGGTGTGAATGGGGTATAAGATTTTAAAAATCTGAACTACTTTATTAATTAATATTAACACCTTTTTTATCTCGTTGTATTACAGTTTCTAAATCCAGTTAATTCTAAATTGTAGCGCCATCCGAATTATGTTTGCTGTCTGATGACTAACATTTCAGTCTAGGTAAATAAGAATGGCATACACTTTTTTTTCTGAATAGAAAAGGTGGAAAGTACTTTTTTTACGAAATGTCGTCGAACGCAAAATGTTTGTTGTGACAATTTCTTTGTTATTTCTTTGTGGACTATATCGTTCTCAGAAAAGAGGTTGAACTTAGTTTTAAAACCTTTTAACGCAGAGCCACTCAAGCGCTCCTTTTAGTAGTACAGTACAGTACATTTGTTTTTCATTAAAGTTGAATTTTACTCCTGTATTTAAAAAAGAAAAAAACGCAGACGAGTGACTCACCTTTATGAGCACCAAGTTTGAGTTCTTTTTTATACTGGCTGTCGAAAAACTCAACTCTGAAAGGCCTTCTTCCGCAGCCTTAGTAAAGTACTCGCAAAGTTCGATGACTGCATGAGAGTTGCTTTATTTCGTGGTTTTTATGCAGCTGTTATGGCTGATCGCAAGACATCAAATACTTTCATTTTAAGAGATGAAAAAGGTTAAACTCTTTGGGGTATTTGGCCAATTAGAAAATGCAAAATATTGTGACGGCCAAGCCCCACGAGAGCTAAGGTTGCCAGTGGAAGGCAAAATACTTTGATATGTCTAAACACAGCAGGGCCTAGGGTGAAAGAGTTCAAGTAGAAACCCTAGTCTATTAGATCACTGGAGTTGAATAAAAATGAAAAGCAGAAAAATAATTTTAGAATATTATTATAATATATATAATAATATTACAGAAACAGAAGTATAGTATGTATCATGGAATTGATGGTTTTTACGGCGGCCATGTTGGAGGAACTTAACAAAAGAATTGTCAATGAATTCTTTTGTCATATCCTCCAACATGGCCGCCGTGTCTTTTGTTATTTAATTCTCTTGGGAAGGGTTGAAAACCATCAATAGACTACACATCTTATTGCAATTTGACTTAAAGATACAATCAATAGGAGTCGAATAAAATCCAGGACTAGTACGCTAAAATTATGTAAAATTAGTGGGTGCTGGGCATCTAACGGCTCCAGTTAGATCATTGGCAATTATCTTGATTTCATCCTTGGAGAGCTTGGCGATAGTAACTGGAGGGGAGGGGTGGGGATTTAAGGTAGGAATGACGTCACTGCAAAGCTGAGGTGTYATGAAGTCTGTAACTAAATTGACCAGGGAAAATTTTTTGTCCAACCAGTGCAATAAAAATATATAACTCATTAGTTATTACGAGTTTTATATTTTCATTGCAATATAGCACCTTCTTTTTCTCATTTGGTAGCCTGGAAATCAACAATTTCAAAAGGATAAGTGACACCCCATTTTTTTGCAAAAGTTCTCGATTCTGATTGGCTAATATTTTCTCTCAGATCAGCTGGATATTCTTTTGCTTCCTCGTAGCCTCGCTTCTCTGTACTTAATGATGATCATGATCAATGATGCAAAATGCTAGGCAAACCCCATCGGCTCAATTTTATTTTACTTCTTGAAATTTCAAGTTCTGTTCTTTTTTATGAAGCTTTTTTTTTTGCGTGACGGAATTGAACGAAGGAAAGCGATACGAACTTTGGGCTTCTGGTGAGCGAAGTGTATTCAACAATTACTTCTCTTCACAAAATAGGTTCTTTCACTGCATCCATATCTACGTTTCTTCTTYAATTTTGATGACTTTTAAAACTGTAAAACAGTCGGAATTAAATATAACAATTGTCCTGAAAGGTCATAGTCTCATGTTGAAGTGCTTGATGGGAACTCCTTGGCGTGTGCGTGAAATTAAATAAATGTATACAGTCCACTCCTTGTCCATATGTGTCCTCTCCATCTAATGTATCGTGTCTTGATGGGTACCGTCACTCTGTTGGTACTCATTGCTGTGCATGTGGTTGTATACAGATGTACATCCATGCAGTTCAACCTTCATCGATATGTGTCCTCTCCATCTAATGTATCGTGTCTTGATGGGTACCGTCAGTCTGTTGGTACTCATTGCTGTGCTTGCGGTTGTATGCAGATGCACATCCATACAGCTCAACCTTCATCGATATGTGTCCTCTCCAACTAATGTATCGTGTCTTGATGGGTACCGTCAGTCTGTTGGTACTCATTGCTGTGCTTGTGGTTGTATGCAGATGCACATCCATACAGTTCAACCTTCATCGATATGTGTCCTCTCCATCTAATGTATCGTGTCTTGATGGGTACCGTCAGTTTGTTGGTACTCATTGCTGTGCATGTGGTTGTATACAGATGTACATCCATACAGTTCAACCTTCATCGATATGTGTCCTCTCCATCTAATGTATCGTGTCTTGATGGGTACCGTCAGTTCGTTGGTACTTATTGCTGTGCATGTGGTTCTATACAGATGTACATCCATACAGTTCAACCCTCATACATGGGAAATCGTTCCATGATTGCACGACAAATCTCACGTATTGTGCCTTGACAGGTTTTGAAAGTTCATGACTCACCACTGTAGTTTTGTCGAAATTGCCGCTAAAGTGCTGGAAAAAAAGTGCAATCAATGTATCAAAGACTTTTTATTTATAAACACGACACGACACGACACGACACAACACGACACGACACGACACGACACGACACGACACCGCTTCAATACTGGTCAAATCTTTTACCGTTATGTCGTTGTCATTGATTCTGTAGTCTTCCCACGTGCCTGAAGTGTTGCTGAAGGCCAGAGTGTACTCAGTGACCCGGGATTGAAAGTGTGGATAATCTTGTCCTTGAGTGGCAACCTTTGTTATCCATTTAATTGACCCTAAGTCAATCTGTAGATACTCGCCAATTTTTTTGCTAGATGGGCACCACGCAGTGTCATAGGCTTTGGTTGGCTGTCGGTGAAGACGACCATAATGGGGTTGCATAGCTTTACTGTCCCATTCAAACACTGAGGAAGCTGTGATTTGTGCATCAGGTATCTTCCCGTTTTGAATTCCAAGTGGCACAGAACAACCTTGTATAATGAAAAAAAGATTATTTTAAAGCGTAGCAGATTTGTCATGACAATAAGCCTGGAAATACTTTGCTTCCAATAACTTTTCTTTCTCTCTTTTTCCGTCTACCCCGTAACTTGTTTCCAGTAAGTATCCCGTGTCACATAATGTCCCACCGAAACCTTATCAGACAAGCACAAAATAATTATGAAAGTGGTTGCTATATCTGCACATATATAAATAGGAATATATATTTTAGATTAAAGTTTCAAATCAACATGTTAATTGTCCATTAGTCAACATCATCTTTTCAGGTCGCTTTCTTTATCGACAAAGCACAATAGCAACAAATTTTCCCGTACTCAGTTTACTCGGTAAACTTGAAATGCACTTGCATGATAAACCAATGACAGTTTTATTTTGTTTTATGTGTATATAGCTTAGGCCTCCCTTGTAAGACTACGTATAAATGCTATTTCACACTTTTTTTTAGTTGATTGCTATTCAAAATTCTCCAAATACTATTAATGTTTTTACTTACATGCGAATTTCGCTGCAGGTTTACACTTCTTGACATCAAGCGACGATCCTTCACAGGAATATGGAACATTGGCGTTCATTCGAGAGATACAAACACGATTACGTGTTTGAGAGCAATTACAGTGAGACCATTGACTCCATTGGGTCCACCTTCCATCTGAAACAAATGAACAATTTAACRAGCGGATAAAAGGAAAAACGGACAATGTGTTGAAAAAATTGTATCAGTGTCGTATCAATATTGTTACTCACCACTGCAGTTGAACGTATCCCATAAGAAGTCAGGGCTACACCACTGTCGTGGAGAACAAGGGTTGGAAGAACATGGGTTCTAATAAAGCGAAACAATGGAATTGAAAAAAGAAACAATCCGGGAAAAAAATTGGATATAAGGTACATGGGCCTTGAGTAAAAATTCTTGCCAAGTCCACAGTTAACCCAACAAAATAAGGGCAAAAAAAGGAAAATTTAAGACTCTAGTCAAAAACTATTTCGCGCGTCCTGATCTGCGCACAAGGTTGTGATTTACTGTTGAGCTTGAAAATGAATTTTTCTTGGGTAATTGCCGCAAGTAACAAAGCAAGAGAATGAGTGAGCAAACAATATGAAAAAATGAAGGCTTCAATCATGAAGATTTGTCACCTTGATAGGACAGTATTCAAAATCTTCCTTGGAAACCACGTAACCAGGGTCTGACACGTGATCAGCGTCATTCAGTTCACATGTTCTCGACATTCCTTCTACGGGACCCAAGTTGTACGACACACAGTTGTCTTCTATATAACATTTGTGCTGACAATCTTCTAAACCGGGTGCTAAGATTCTGAAAGACTTAATCACGTGACCATCGAAAGTCTTGTTTTTCAAACAGTCAAGAAAGTCAAGTACCTTACAACCACCGTCACCTGTGTAGGGAGGACAAGAAGACAAAGTATTAGTATTGCTAGTTTGACCTTTTAGCTTGGGCGCAATGTTTTCCATTTCAGAGCACTTGTCATTTCCAAGAGTATAATTTCTTTGTTTTCTTATATTCACTGGCTTTTTGAAGCCTATTCAGCCTTTGAGTTTCAGACTCTTTTGACTTGTTTTTTGTTAGGGTTTTTGGAAATTTAAGTTGGCTTTCGATTCGTGCATATTAATTAGGAAAAATCTTTATTTTATTCGATTTTTCAAACTTTCGTAAATTTCACAAAAACAAAATTGCGCTTGGACTTTTTGATCGCGTTTCCTGAAATACCTATCTATTTGAAAGGTTCTTTTGGTAAAATAAAATCAAATTTGATTTTTCGACACAAGTTCTTAATGATGAAAATGATAAATTTTAGTAATTTGACTTTAAATAAACATCAGTAAAAGCAAAAATGTGAAAGTTATAGCAACAGTTTCTACCAAATCGTTCAATTTGTTAAAAAGTCTCGTTAAAAAGTCTCGCAAAAAGTCACCATCTCGACTTTTTTTGCGAAAATCTAGTTAAGCGAAAATATATGTTACAATGAAGTACTGTGGCGGATTTAGGGGGGGTTCATTGGGTGCAAATGAACCCCCACCGGCTGGTACCTTGGATTTTTTATATATATAAAAGTATGGTACTAACTCATGAGATTTAATATGAAAATGGGACTGGTGGATAGGTTATCCTTATCAGGAGCGCCCCTAGGCCAGTGATGTGCCTCATGGGAAAAATGATGATGCAAGAGAACGTTATTGTTGTGCCGAGATTTGCAAAAATGAACCCCCCCTCTTAAAGTCCTGGATCCGCCAATGTCCTTATCTTACATTAACCGTGAGAAGTAAACAAAACGGTACGCAATGAAAACAATGGATAATAAGGCGACTTCTTTTATTTCATTAGGTTCAAATACCCTCAGAAAGATACTGAAATCTATGTTGAAGGAAACAGCGAGTTGAGAATATGACGTCATCAACCTCCTAATTAGCATAAACTTAAAACTTGAACATCTATGAATATATTTGTCGAACCAAAAATGCTAACAAGACACTGCAAAACGAAGGTTTTCTCCTTTTCTACTTTAACATGTGTTTAAGAAGTAGAAATTGGATGTGTTAAAATTTCATCACAGTTGCAATTTACGTTTGTATTCGATCGGCCCTAAGTTAAAAAATCACTCGAATCATCAGTGGCACTAAAACCGATAACGTGCATGCTGTACGAGGGTATAGCATTTACTTGCAGGCAGTGATGGCAAACAAATAGTGGCCCTCGTTCCGTGTTCCAATCGGAATTTACTGTAAGAGTTGAGTAGTGTTATTGTTGATCTTGGCTTACAAGTTAGCTGAAAAAAACAAGCCTTTCAAACGAAAGAGGCTTTTTCCACGACATAAAAGTTTAATTGATCGAATATTCGTTCCCTAGGAAGAATGATTGATAGGATACTATGCTGTTTCGAGTCGCTTCTAAATTTACACAACATATTTACATATGTATATTTGCTTTTTCTAAACCTTGAATTTTACGGCCTATGAGTGTTTTTGTAAACTATTATTTCCTTTAAGTTGGTCAGTCCTAAGATTGGTGATTTTTTTTTGCATGTAAGCATATTCTGTTCGAGATTATTTACTTTTATCGCTGGAAATAGAGAAACTCTCGCTCTAATAAGTTAACAGCTATTCGTTAAACACTAAAAGTGTCAGAAAATAAATATAAATGTTTTTGCAAAGCAGAAAAAAATGAATTATTTAAGATAGTTAAGAACGAGAAGGAGAAGGAGAAGGGCATGGAAAGCACAAGAAAAACTAGACAAAACTAAAAAAGGAAGCAAAAAAGATGATATACATATAATACATGACTGCAAACTCAATTAAGACGAAGACGGCGAAGGAGATCTTAGAAGTAATAGTAGAGGAAGGAGAAGAGGAAGAAGAAGAAGAAGAACAACAACAACAACAACAAGAGCTGAACAAGAAGAACGAGAACAAGAGAAGAACAAGGAAATACTTCAATCAGGATCGATTAGAGCTTAATAAATAAAATAAATAAATAAATAAATAAATAAATAAATTCGCAGTGGCATTTCCACATAGTGGCTCTTCATTTACTGTAATTCCAATTGGAATTTAGAAGTTGAATTTTGCGGAGGGAGGAAAGCCGGAGAACCTAGAAAACCCTCGAAGCACAGGAGAGAACCAACAAACAACTCAACTCACATACAATACCGAGCTCGTTGGCACTCGAAATCGGGTCACATTGGTCAGAGCCGAGCGCTCTCACCGCTACGATAGATATGAGGAACGGCTAGAAAGGATAAGAAAGGAAAAAGAAAGTAAAGGAAGAAAGCAAGTTACAAAACTTATACGCAAGTAAACAAAGTCAATAACAAAATTAAGGAAATTTATTCCACTGCATATGGAATAAATGCACATAAACACACATCCAATTTAACTTACCTTTAGACAGTGCGATAAGGCCAGCAATGAAGAACAAAATCACTCCCATATTTTGGATCCCTGACGCTTGACTTTTAAGTTTCTCCATCGGTACAGGGGTGGATCAAGGGGAGGGGTGCAGGGGGGCGCACCCCTCCCACTTTGTGCCTTTGATTCTAAGGGGTGCACCCCTCCCTGAACAAAATCCTGGATCCACCCCTGCGGTATCATATCATAATTTCCTCTCGACTGCCAAACAAAAAACAAAACAAAACAAACAAAAAAAATGCATCAGCTTTAAAAATAGAATCAGCTCTGCGGTGAATTTCGTTGTAGTCCATCACAGCATCTTTAGCTGTTTTGCCACCGGCCCTCATACACAGATTACTTTAACCTAACTTTTGACTAAAATTTAATATGCGTGCCCACAAGAAGCAGCAATATGGAAAGGAAGATCTTTAGACCTTTCAAGCTACAAAATGTTTAGGGGCTGGTCAGTTTGGTCCTCTCGTGCTTTGCGCGTCGCCTACGAGCACTGTTTAGCTGGAAAGTTTCTCATTGAAATGATTGCCCGATTGGTCAAGAATTGGGGAGCTATAACAAAGATGTAGCAGGGGGTTGCTGGATGGGACAAGACGTGGGAGAGATTTTCGGCTTGAGAAAGGAGAACTTAACACCTGCTTTTACAGCCAAGTTAACGTTTTATAAAATAAGGATTGAAAAAGGTTGTCTCAAAAAAAAAAAAAAAAAAAAAAGATATATTTTTTCTTACACTTTTTTTGATAACCATATCTGAAATACGCTGAAGGTAAATAAAGTATTGTTTATGTTATTTTATGTTTATGTCATGTCAAAATTAATAACCATCTTGAGCTTATTTGGATGTCGAACGTAACAAGGGTATTGAGA